TCCAACCCTAACTATTCTGTGATTCTACGTTGAGATCTTCTATCTACCTCTAATGTTCCAGCATACATACGATGCTGTATGAAAAAAGTATAATCAGGAAAAATTCAATAGAAAATACTACACTGACTGACAGCAAAATGTACAGGCATAAGGAGTAACTGATTTTTTCTTCTCCCTTGTTACATCACAAAGATGTTTCTGATTTCTCCCACTAGAGGGAGCCACGTTGGTGCACACCCATAGCATTTTATCCAGATTGCTTCATTGTTATCAGCTGACAGGTCCTCTCATAATGTAAGTCAGCCAGGAGACAAGCAGCAGGAAGACTGACTTGAAAATAGGGTATGTCTGAGAACAAGATTCAGGTTTGCAGATAAAATTCTGACTGCTGAGACATCTCCAGTTTTTCCCTCATGCATACATATTGTATGAAAAAGTGAGTATCTCTTCTACTTTAAGGCTCTCAGAGTTTGCATACAACAAATACAAAATCTGCCTTACGATCTCCCTCCCACCCCTAAGTCCGAATACCAAGCAAATATAACTAAACCTCATGAATTCTGTTTTGTATGGACTTCTTCCAACCCTTTCAGTGGAGTCAACTTCTTGAACAATATTGCTGCAGTAATTTATACTATGCTGGTTTTCCACCATTCAGCTAATGAACAGGAGCAATAGTGCTTTGACATTTGTTTTAACAGCTGGGCATGTCAAGATAACTTTTTGCCTGTATTTATTTTTGGTTGGGAGAAAGCTAGGCATGCAACAGAGACCTGAAAAGTAATTAAAACCTACTCTTCTTATACTTTTTTGTTTTTAAGTGCTCTACCTTCCATCCAAACAACTGTTTTTATAGTCATGAAGGCACTTGATTCACATTCCTCATTAATGACACCAAAAAAAAAAAATAAAAAATAAAATTGTGGGACTGCTCATTCATTACAGGTTGAATGCTGAGAGGACAAAAAAATGGCTCTTTAACTAGACCTGTACCAGAAATAGCACTTCTTTGTGGTCAAATATTGCTAACTTGCTATGAGCCCTTCCACATGTTGGCTTGGTACAATGAAGCAATTTAATTTGCAAACGCCAGTGATTAGGTTTTCACTAAGGTTCAGAGAAAACCCAGAGAAAACTTCAAAGTGCCATCAAGAATATTATTAGTGAGACATCTTTTATCCATTTCTAAGGCAGTATCCCCAGACCAGGCCAACATGCTTCGGGCAATGCCAGGAAAGATGCACGGTGTGAGAATGAAAAAGAATGAAAAAGGAAAATTAATGGGCTAAATCTTACCTACACAGTCATAATGGCCACTGACGTATTTCAGTTCATAACCAAGCTGGCACTTGCAGTAGTAGCTTCCAAACGTGTTGATGCATCTGCGGTTGTAAGAGCAGACAGCTTTGCCAGTGGAGCATTCATCAATATCTAGAGCAGGAGAAGGGATGTTCAGATCCATGAGAAGGTAAAATTGGAAAGAATTAACTAGTTGGGATTTGCATGGGAATGGTTTGGCCTTGGTTATAACAAGTTGTTTAAAAAATAAGTCCTATAATTTCACACTCAGGGATGGTTTCTGCATATGCTCATATGAATGAAGCAGCAAAATGTGAAATAACTTTATGGAAGACTTTGAGAGCTGGCATGGCAAAAGCTAGGGTAACTGGCTCTGGAAATGCAGTCCACTGAGGACAATTATTTGCTCTGAGGTCAGGGAGCAGGGTCAGGAGGAACTCCAGGAATTCCATTATTTCCCAAAGAAAGGAAATATCAGAGAATAGTTTAAGAGAAATCCCCGGAACAGGAATCTGAGAGCAGCAGCAGCTTTTCTACTGAATCTCTGCACCTCCTTTTGCTGGGCTAAGTCAAGACATAGCAGTTTTCCTGTTAGAAAAGCAGCTGAAAGTGAGCTCTCTAACCATACCAATGCATGTCCTTCCATTTGGTCCCAACTGAAGGCCACCTGATGGACAAAGACACTGCACCTCTCCTTTGACTTCTTCACATCCATATTGGCAGTTCACCATGGCACATGTTCTAGAACCTGACAATAGTATTTAACATAACAAAAAGAGCAAAATCACACACTTATGTTAGATCTGGGTGAATGCAGAAGATTAATCAGAACAACGGAATTCCGTTCATCATAAATCAAGCTGTTTATACGTTACTAGATTGGCAATTCAGGAGCCCATAAGATAGTCTTACATTCCCCTTCACTTTCTTCTTTCCTTATCCCCCTTATTCCTTCTTTTTCCTTTGATCCCAGTTCTGTGACTTCGTACTACTACCTTTTAGATTCAGAGACAGAACTGACCAAAGCAGAAAAGGTGTTTTTTCCATTTTCCATAGAAACAGTTATACCTTACAAAAACCTGCTATTCATTAGTGAAATGTTTCTATTGTTTACGATGAAATATGCTTCCAGTATAGAATTTGATTTTAAAAACTATTAAGCCTGATGGACTTAGAAACTGTGCTTTATTTTGACACTTTATGGGACAAATATCTGAACCTAATGAGGCACTAGCCAGAACACAAGTCTTGGTTGCCATAGTTTGGTTAAGAGCCAGAATTATTTGAGATGATTCTATGATTAGCATCTGAATAGAAACGTAGGCATCCAGGTCCTGTCTGAGAGACTTACGCAAGTCTAGAAGAGTAGGAGAAAAGCAGAGCTTGGGTGATTTTGTGTTAGGTACTAACCTCCTAACTAGTAAACAACGATTCTCTGTGGACCAAAGCCACATTCTTCTGATACCCTTCTTCAGCTCTCTGGTCCCTTGCCATGGTTGCAGGTAAGCCTGACTGCTCAGACAAGGTGGACTTCATTTTGCTAAGGAGACTTACATCAGGGTGAATTTGATTGGAAAGAAACAATATGCTCAAAATGTTGGCCTGAATCAAATGATGAAAATTATACAGTTGGTTAAACAACCTACCATCTAATCTGAGCACAAGCTTAAGCTAGCATCAAGTTAAAAGGGAAGCTACGAAGTTTAACCAAGAATAATTTCTACTTGAGCAAATAATTTACTACTTCATAATCATAGTTTCTGCTGAAGAAAATAAAGGCTCTTCGGAATCAGAAGATAGCAGATGGGATGGGTTAATGAAGCACAACTTGATGTACATTTCTTCCTTCCTTAGCTAGATCTGCAAAGAATGAAGACTTCCCTTCTACGGGAAACCTGGTTAGCCCCCTGAAAAATTTGGTTTCATTTTGTGTCAGTGTTTGTCAGGGTTCCACCAAGAGACAGTGTTTCCATGTGCCAAAGTGAAAGGGAAGCTTCAGGGCTCAGAGCTGCTCAGGCCATTTTTTCATATACAGTTGACACCATCCACCACTGCCACTGAGAAATCCAGCATTTTGTGCTGGCTTAAGCAACGGATGGTGCAACTGCCCATTTGGTACAAAAGCAGAGTTTCTTAAATAGGAATTGAGTCCTGAACTATGACTGGCTTAAAACTAGTGCAGCAGAAACTTTAATTTACAGTCTGGATCTAATTTTCTGACTTGGTTCAGAAGCATGGCTGCAGCAAGTGTTTGTGTGCAGAGGAGCAGGACTGAGGGATGGATGGGACAAAGCTTCTGCTGGGCTCCACGGATAATTTCTTTTGGCGGCAGTTCTGCCTTCTGCCAACTTCAGCTGTCCATGAGACAGTGGCCTTACTGATAACTGCTCAGTGATGATGTCAGAAGATACACAAATCATCTTGGATGAAACAAAAGGAATACATATCCATTTCTCAGGAATCTCAGGACCCTGCAGCTGTTGTCTACTGTGATGCAGGGAAGGAAATCCTCCAAAGGCTCTGGCCCCAGCCACCTTTTGTGGCAATTTCAGTCTCCCTGCAATAAGAGAGAGAGAATAGGAGCTCTGGCTTTCCCTCCTGTCCCAGAGCTGCAGACCCTGCACTCCTGCAAGTGTTTGCCAAAGCTGAGTATTTTTCCAACTATCCCAAGACTCCTCAGATGGACACCCTGCCCAGTGAATGGTTGTCTCCAAGGTTTGGAAATCAAAGGTTCCCAGAGTTTATGGCTTTCCGTCATATCCATAGGATAGATGGTGCTGCACCCCGTACAGCTAGGTCCACTGGTGTAGAACAGACCTTTCAAGCAGATTGTTCCACTGCTGAGACCAACTAACTTCCTTGTCCAACTGATGCATCTGCTCCAGACCACTGGACTCCATAAAGGTCTGTCACCATGTTCCCCATGATTTTATGAAATTCAAAGGCAAAATACCTGTATGGAACAGCTCAAGTGAAAAAACGTATTTGCTACAAGCAAAACAGTGTCATTGGAAAATAAGGAGCTTCCTCAGGTCTGAAAAATCAGGTTGGCTAAGAAAGCAGAATGGTTTCCATTACATGCTAGCTAAAGACAAAGAAAATAGGTAGAAATACAGTTTAGATAAGCCTTAGCTCAAGGGACAAGTGTTTGCAAGAAGCTGGTTACAATTATGGGGAACACATCAACACAGAGATAAAATAAATTGGTCAGGGAGCACAGAAAGGTAAAGCAAGGAATAATGGCATGAAATTCAGCACAGTAAAAAGTAGTCTAGACTGATGCTTTGCTTGGATAGATTCATGCATTCTTATTCAACAGATTAACTGGCAGAACTATGCACCAAGATTATGCTAGCTATCCTTCATTTGAATTAATGCTAGCAAAGATTTTTACTTCTATCAGGACAAAAATACAAGTTTACTTCATCCCCATACTGCCAAATATAAAGCCTCTGTCAGCTGCTGACAGTACCAGAAAGCTGAGGCAAAGACTGTATCCTGAATGAGCTAAATCCATTCATCACGAGAAGAAAATCTGCTGGGATCAAATGTGATTAGATGATTTGGTGTGCCTGTCCTATTACTTACTTGCACATGTGCCATCTGGCAAAAGCATGTACCCGTTGGGACAATAGCACTTGTAGCTGCCATGTGTATTCATACATCTGTGCTCACAGGGACGTGGTTTCAGTCCACATTCGTTCAGATCTGCAGAAATCATTGGAATGAAGTGAGTGCTGGGTTTGTATACATATATTCATACATACCGGTGGATAATATTTCCTAATGCCTTGAATTCCCCACAGTAAAATTGCCTGGACTGAATATAAGCCAACCTCTTGCAAGATGAGAGTTTAGCAAACCATCTGGCTGAAAGACTGCTAGCAAAACTAACACACACAGCCTCCTACACCTGAAAAACTAATGCAAACTCTGGCCACATCTGGCAGCTCCTTAGGGAGAGATAGAGGGGTGGGGAGAGAACTGCAGTTAGTCTCTTTTCTGGGAGTTATTTTTCTGGATTTCTCTGATTGTAGCTGAGGATTTTAGCCCTCCAGTTGACCTCTGTACTAAAAAGGCAAAAATATGAGACAAAGAGCAGCAAATCAGCTTGAGATAAAGTGAAACAAAGATTTCTTTCCTTTTTTTTCCCCCCCTCTCTGAGATACACATTGGCACCAACGTTATCAGTAGCATAAATGAAATGCCATATGGTAAGAACTATGTGACTTTAACAATAAAAGGACAAATCTCAAAAATCTCAAAATCCTCTGTATAAAAGCATCCTAAATCCTTCCCAATATCCACGATTTAAAAGGCTTGGCAGAAACTAAATTATTTTCAAATTCCCGGTAGCTATCCTTCATGGGGAGAAAACTAGAATCCTAAAAAGTTTAATTTGTGTGGTATAGGCAGAGCAGTGCTGACAATGGTATTGACCCTATGACAAGGGGACGATATCTGTGCTTGCGACTTTTGTGAACTGACACCTCTACCTCTTGTATTTTGAAACCTGACTAGTAAGCAGACAGAACCCATTAGCAGAATGCACCAGCACACATAGCCGGTTCAAACAGGTGTTTAATGACACATATGACAAATAATATAATTTCAGTAAAGATGCAAGTCCCTACGCAAGCACTGAGCTTATGTAGCTCCACTTCTAAATAGGATCAGCATCTGTTTGCATGTCTATGTGCCCTGCAGACCACAGAAAAAATTCCAAACCATTCCAAGCATAAACAAGTATAACTGCAGGGGTTATATATGTGCAGAAGTGTTTGTTACAGCAGAGTCCAGGGAAGAAAAAGAGGGTTTCATTCTATTATTTGGACATACGGTCTGTTTGAAAAAGGATAACCTATCAGCTTACAGATCATATTGGATTTTTGTGCTACTGTGGTTGACCTAAATAATCAAGACTTTCTTTAACAAAGAAACTAGAAAG